GCAAGGAACCATGGGGCAGATCAGACCTGGGAGCTAGATCTGCAAAACTGGATCCACGCTGCAGCATTCTGGGAGAGAATAGTCCAGGAAATGGGGCTCTGATCACTCTGGAACAGATTAGATATGGAAGAAGAGTCAGAACTGTTTAAAGCATGCAGAAGGTGAGGTAAGGTGATACAGGATCCCCCAGGGTTCATAAGTCTAAAGGCGAAGTTGCAGGAGCTGGTAATGGAGGCATTGGCAGGCCAGAACAGGTGGTAGGAGCTGGTAAAGGTGGCAGTGGCAGGTCAAGAGAGGTGGCAGTAGTTGGCAATGGTGGCAGGCCATCAGAAGTGTCAGTGGGTTGGTAATTGTGGCAGGCCAGTAGAGGTGGAAAGAGTTGGTAATGGTGGCAGATCAGCAGAGATGGAAAGAGCTGATAATGGTGTCAACCAGAAGTAGTGGCAGCAGTTGGTAATGTTGACAGGCCAGCAGAGGTAGCAAGAGCTGTTAATAGGAACAGTGGCAGGCCAACAGCGAAGGAAAGAACTAGTAATGGTGGCAAGCCAGCAGAGGTGGCAGTACCTGGCAATGGCAGGCAGGCAGGCTAACAGAGGTGGCAGGAGCTGGTAATGGTGACAGGCCAGCAAAGGTAGCAATAACATTTTTCTGTTTATGGAATAAGATGATTGATTTGAAATGATTTAGGGTCAGCAGTAGGGCATTAATGGAGGATAGTATTTTACTGAGGTCTTGCTTCCTCAACAAGGTTCCCATTGGGTGTTGTTAGAGGCTATACAGGAGTGGAAATTGACCAATAAAAAAAAACAACAAAAAGCCTTACACCAGGAGGATGTTCATCTCACACTGCTACACTCTCCCTAGTTTGACCATAATAAACCAAAAGGCTATGTGTGACAATAAAATTTCCTCAAATTATAAATATAAATATAGCAATCAATAAAAAATGTGAACTACTGAGTGGGAAGCCCAACACCTAGACACAGTACTACTACTTACTAGGAGGAGTGCTGCTGTAATCAGATAGAGAGAAATTCACCTGTGAAGACAAAAGAAGAAGGGAGAAAACAGTGCAGATCTCTGATGTAGAAAAAAGATTAAAAAAAACTTTATTAAAAACAACATATAATATACTCACAAAATAAAATGTGAGAGAGCGCATATAGTCCACGAGAAAGAGCCCACTCAACACACAACACAGTCACAAGGAAATAATGGATGAGCAGCCACAGGGTCCAGATCACTGTTCAGCCAGCTGACAGGTGAAGAGCTGGGCTGGATGCTAGAGGTCTCTGCTTCCCGCTCGGTTTGCTCAATCTCAAGGACAGCACTCGGTGGACTGTGATCTCATGTGAACGTGGGGAATTTCAAGCATGCCTCTTCCCTTCAGCTCAAGTGGAGTGGAAATTGAGATCTGACCACGTCGGACTTGGTATTGGAAAAACAACTGCATGGGGAGGCCATACTTCATTATAGAGTTAAATGTATGCAGTTTGCCTGCCTGAAAGATTTGGTCAAGGGTGTTGAAACTTTTTCATAGATTGTATGCATTGAGCTCTGACATCATAAGTGTGGAGCTGTCCATATCAGAAAAGGTAGCTGCGCTACTAGTAGTTGTCACTGAGAGTGAGTGTCAAATGGTTTTCATGTCTTACATTCTCACCTCCACAACAAAAAAAGCTAATCTTTCCTTAGTCTCTAGATAAGGACTTGCACTTATTAAACAGATATAAAAAAAGGTATAGTTAACAGACTAAAGGTTAGAAAATTAAAAAAAAAGTATATTGTAATGAACACATACATTGAAAAGTAGTAAAGACTGTTCACTTAGCAAAGTGTATATTTACTTTGAAAAGTGTGTGTTCACATAGCTAGCAAATAAGGTGAAGCCATGTTCCCTTTGAAAAAAAAGATTTTTGCTTGCACAATTGGGTATCTGAAGCAAACACAACTTCACCAAATTCACTAAGATAAGTAAACATACACTTTGCAAACTGAGCCTACACTTGCTCTATTCCTTTAGCAAATCAAACCCAATAAATGTTCTTGTGCTTGTAACTTAAAGTGTTACTAAACCCACAACAGTAAAATCAGTCTCTAAATGTAGTAAAGCATGCTTGTTATACTCACTGTGAAACCTAAGGGGTTAATCCTCTGCATTGTGTAAAGAGGCTGTTTGACCCTGCTTCTCTGCCTCTCCTCTTGTTCAAATGTCCACGCTGATAAGACAGACTGAACCTGTAGACCTTCTGCACATGCTCAGTTTAGTGTGTATTGCTAGAGAGGATTTTTTTTCTTGGGAGAGTGCATGCGATCAGCACAGGGCCAAAAGCACTGTCCAGACAGAGGTCAGGGGTTCTGCATCCTTCTAAGCAAAATGAAAACTCCTCCTAAAAGCTTTAGACAGTGCTCAGCTGGACACTGATAGAAGTCACAAGACTGCTCTAACTGCTGATGAGCAAAGGTATTTAGAAGTTTATATTTACTAACATAAGTGCATTTTCATGTTCCGTGTATTGTTGGAGACCAGATATAGTGAATGTAGGGTCTTGGGTTTAGTAACACTTTAAACTTGCACTGTTTTTCACCACTCTGTGTACATATAACATTAAAAAAAAATCTTGCAATGTTGGTATGCAGAATCTCAACAAGCCTTAGCACTAAGAAAGTGTATATCACCCTCAAAAGTGCTCCCAAAATATGTTTGCCTTTTTTTAAACCAACTCAATCTGGCGTACAAAGTCTGTAGCTTTAGTACAGAATATTCTGTTATTGGGAAAATCTTTTACACAAAACGCAGTGAGCTCAAGGAATGCCTTGTTATATAAAGAATCATTATACTGGGATTCAGACAGGGCACTAGAGCTTGTCATTTTAATCAGTTGGGATCTGAACAAAAGTGCTTTTACTGGATAAAATATCAATAAAACCAATGTTCTGCAGCACATAAAAGTGTGTCTTGGAGAATTAAAATCAGTAATGCTGTGGCTTCTTTTTTTCTTTTTTGAGATCTTAATAGAGTCATATTTTTGAAATAACATTAATGTCTCTTGCAGTTTGTTTTCCCCAAAGAATTCCTTTCTATGTTTGTATACTGGCCAGCCTGAATAGACTAAATATGAACGTAGATAAAGTTAGTGGAATATCACATTTATCCTGTGCCTAAATTAATAATCACAAATATATCAAAGAAACGCTATCATATCAGAATTATAGGGTTTGCCTTTGCTGCCTCTAAAATGCTAGCTGTCTGACTACTAAAACTAGCTATACACTCGTAGAATTTTGTTAGAAAATATTCATTTTAAGAACATTTGTTCAAATTTCTAATGGTTTGTTGCGTTAAATTGATGTTCCTTTTGGACCAGGGTGATATGCAGTAAAGAAAGTTGGTTGATCCACATTTTTTACAGCTTCCTGACAGCCACTCTGCATGTTGTGCTGGGCAGACGGTGGCACGAGGTTGTGATATAAAATACCCCTTGTAATAAAAAAAGGCACTCAGGAGGAGGTCAGTATCTCTCTTGAACAGCGCCACCTCTGAGAAATTATCCACCATGATTGTTTTGCAGAGGGGTATTACAATCCACCACCCTTGTGAAATGAATATCGAGGAAGTATGCAAACTGTCATTGCTGGTCCAATAAAAGAGAGACTTTTTGCACAAATGGAAAAGCATACCATCTGTGGAAAGGGGAACACGTGATATCCAGGGTCTCTGCACTACTGCCCACTAAAGTTCTGGCATTGGATGGTAAAAATATTATCATTAATGTTATTTTACACAATAAATTCAGAACATCACAGGCTATAAATTCTACTCTCCTGAAAATATCCATCGTCATATATTCTTAATCTTACCTTCATATATCATTTAAGAACATGTATATTTGCCCACATGGAAAAAAAGGACTAATTGCATTTTTCTTCCTAGTGATTTAGTTCATACCTTTGCACTGTTGGTACTAAAAACACATGTCATTGTTGTGTGCTGGGTATGTGCCTTGGAGTGCCAAGATACATCCTGTGGGGCTGATTTACTGTAGACTGATGGATAAGCACTGGCTTGAAAACCCTGTTTGCCAGTAGTGTAAATATGCATAGGTGTGTAGTAGCACAATGTTGAGAAGAAAAACCACATTGTAACTGTCAAAGTGTTCGAATTTTCATTTGTGTTGTGTTGATTGTCTGCATTTCGGAGCTGAATAGTGCACCTAGCCTTTCCAATGTTTAACCCGTTCACTGTCAGGGCCGTTTTTGCACACATGTTAAAATGCAAATTTAAGCACGTTAATTAGTTAGAACCCCCAAGCAGAGACACTTTAAAAAATTTGGAAATTACACAAAGGGTCATTTAAGTGCATACAAACACAAAAAGAGGAAACAGAGGGCCCTACTATCCATTTTACTCCTAGCACCCTAGCATGCAGGGATGTGTTGATAGTGGTGCTATTGATCCTGACTGAGAAATCAGGGGAAGTGGCACATGGGGGAGGAAATACTATGAGCTCAGTTTTGGATAGATTGAGTTTTAGGAAGTGGTGTGACATCCAGTCTGATATGTCTGTTAGTAAGTGAGGAAAACTCATGGGGTGAGCTGAGGAGTAGAGGGATAGGTTTGTGAGTCATCAGCATAGAAATGGTATTGGAAACCATAAGAAGCTATCAGCTGACCCAAGGAATAATTGTAGATCGAGGTCCAAGGATAGAACCTTGGGGGACCCCAACAGTAAGAGGAGTAGGAGAGGAGGAAGTAGAGTTGTAAGTGACATTGAAGGTGCGGTGGCGATAGGTATGAATCGAACCAACGGAGTGTACAGTCACGGAGACCACCAAGTAAATAGTGTTTTTTGAGGAGGAGGGTGTGGTCAAATGTGTCAAAAACAGAGGAGAGGTCCAAGAGTAAAAGGTAGAAAAGAGTTGAAGGGCATTGCGTGAAAGGGTGTTAATGAGAGTTATAAAAATAGGTCTGTGTGGAGACAAGAATTGTATTTTTGAAGGGTAGAATTATATTGGTCAAACTCTTGCTGGGTCTTAGTCTTACGCCATAAAAGCTCAAGAGCACAGATACATTTTTTGAGGCATCTGGTATTGTCTGTTTGCCAGGGCTGTAGTGGTCGAGGCCTAATTCTGTGTGTAGTGAGGGGGGCCAATGTAAAAAAGGGGGGGAGAGAGGCCACCTAACATGACACGTAAATATGTGTCATATAAAAATCTCCGTCGCACTGATAATTAGTGTGGATTTATAAACCCCAATGCTTAACATAAAACATAGCAGTATGACAAGTGCAATACTGCTCACACAGAGTGGTTATTAGAAAATCCAAGCGGAGTAATATAATAAGTATTAACAAACAAGTTTTATTCGATCACATGGATCATACTGAGGTTAGACAGAGACATGGTAAACACATCACTGAATTAAAAACATTCGGCGTCTCCAGATCTAATAATATTCGGGCCAATGTGTCCACGGTGGATAACAGTGAACTGTTGTATACAAAAGTGGCCAGGTTGGGGCAGGACAGGGCTGAGATTTTGTCATAGAGACAATCTGTTGCAGAAAAAAGAAGGGTTAAGATAGTGAAGGTTTCTACGGGTAACTGTTTGGTAGTTGGAAGACAAGGAGGAGGAAGCCAAGGAGAGAGTGAAGCTAATAAGGGCGTGATCAGAGAGATGAAAAGGAAAGTTGGTGAGGTTGCAAGGAGTGCATAGGTAGGAGAATACAAGGTCGAGGTCAATTGAAATTGCGCATGTCCAAGAAATGGTGAAAACTTTGGTATCCAAAATTGACCCTTTAAGAGCTCTTACAACTCATCAATTTAGAGTTAACTGTGAATAATGGACCTAGAATTATTGCTATCAATGCAGCATGCTTGGCAGTATAAAACAAGTGTAGCTCAATCACATTTTCATGCAGAGCTGCCTCCGATGCATGCGTTTATGTTCATATTTGTGGGGTTTTTTTTTAGGAGGAGATGTTCTATATTTTTGGTGTGGTTTTAAAGTGTTTAGGTGTAACTTTATATTTTTTTTAATAGGTTAAGTGTGGCTTGAGACTGAAAAAAAGTGCTAAAATCACGACAATAGTCAGTAAGGAAAAAGCAAATATAGTGTGAGTGTGCAAGACTTTAAAGGCACCAACTGAATTAGAACCATAAATAAAAAACTATTTTTTTGTAATTGTAATACCATTAAAACAAAATAAAAACACAGAGACAATACAAATATAATCTCATAGACAATCGATAGACATAACTTAAAGTATATGTAAACCATCTTCTTGTAAAACAACCCATTCAGTGTAAAAATAGGAATGAAAGGCAAAACATTTGTGTGTGTGTGTATATATATATATATATATATATATATATATATATATAAAAAAAAGCAGAGAGGTCCAACTGGCACATATGAAATGTTGGGTTGACATATTCTTTATTAGTCCACACATGGACTTCAACGACTTGTAATGTCTGTATGAAGTAGTGTCCCAACATGTTTCAAATTTCTCTTCTACAGGCCACAACTGAGCCTTAATAAGGTATATGAAAGAAAACATATATGATAATGCATCATACTAATTATGCATAGACAATCTATATATAGAGACAGCAGATATTGTAAACATCAACACTTACAAGGTCAATGAGAGATGTGTATTTGTCAGACTGTACAAGTTTAAAAACAACCATGCCCATGGACTCAAATCCTATTCAGAACAAACAATGAGAACAAGGATGCATGCTGAAATGTAAGGGCCAAAGACACATACTGTAGAAATCCCAAAATACTAAAAAAAACCCCAAACAATTCTAATAATAGACTCCATGCCATGGGAAAATAACATGACAAAAAATGATAAGGATTAACCAATAACAACACACAGATAAAGAAGTGCCAACCACAAAGGATGTAATGAAAGAATATAAAGTCCAAGCTGTAAACCTACAATTGATGGGGAAAGTGTGGAAAAAAACAAACTGAAATAAAGAAATCTAAGTGATTCTACAAGGAACAGAAGAAGTAGCAGGGTATGTCCAGGGGTCTGGCCAGTGGAGTAGAATCACAGCTTGGATTTCTTTTTTGCACTTTGAGTTTTTTTTTTCTGTCAGTTGCTTTTCCATTCAGAGGAGAGACAATTTGTTTTTCCATTGGATAACATATCCTTCACGTTATATGATAAAATAGACCATGACTATATTCCTAAAGCAGAGAATGCATCAATATAAAAAACCTTTAGCTTTTAGCACTACTTCAAGCATGTCTAATTTCAGATCCTGTGATGCCATCCCTGGCTTGCTTTTCTGTGCAGTAAAGGACAATCATGATTGGTGTGAGGGTCCAGAAAGGTAATGTAAAATGCTTCCTTCTCAGCTTCAAAATCTCAACACCCTGCCGTTTGTTTTTCGCATAAAAAGTAAGATTATATAGAAAGGTATGCTAATCCTTTTATGAAGATAGCAAATTTGAACAAGTTAAGTTCGCAGAGGCTTAAACATTTCTTGGAAATGGCTTATCTGAAATTATTTTTGGGGAAAAAAAACATTAAGTTGAAGAGAAATTTCAGCCTTTTTTTTATAAAGGTCAGCAGCTACAAATACTGTAGGAGCGAGTACCTATCAAAATAGGTACCCGCTCTCCATAAAAAACTAAAATCAAAAGTGTTAGGGATGGGGAGTTGTTTAAACATCACTTTCACTTTTGCAAGAAGTTCTGCTTTAATATAAAACTTTTAAGAGGCCACATTCCTGCATGCTGCTATTGATTGTCTCCCAAAGTTGGTTCTATATGTGGTGCATATTACTAACTGTACACAGCTTTGGTGTCAAAGCATACAGGTAAAACTAATAAAAAATAATGCAATACTGAAAGCCCCTGGTAATTGCTATGCACCTTGTGAACCTCAAGTGATAGTCTCAGGCAAAAACCCAGGATGTTGATCTACCATATGTTTGTCCACACAGAGACTGAACACAGGATCCAGACTCTGCTGAACCACTATGCCTGAGCGTAGCTAAGATTTCATCTTCTATTTGGTGACTGCTTGCTTTGATGAAGATATTCATGTTTTCTTCATTTATGTTAATTTAACCTGTGTTTTTCAAATGTAACCACCTTGTACATTATTTGGCTATCAATACTGTTATTAAAAACTCATGGATCTGCATGCTAAATTAATTTCAAACCTTATCTTGCCACTACAAAGCTGGTGGATGTCCATAAGCTTTAGGCACACTTCAAAACGCTATCACGAATCTGGCGCTACAAAGCCGACCTGCTCTGACAGTGTAGCGACAGTCTTCCAGAACTTCATAAATCCTTGGTAACATCTATTGTGGATCAAATAGCTGTTTTTTGCAATATAAATCATAGACACATGGCTATAAAAACTATTACCCAGGTTTCTACTATTATTATTTGTTATAGTGATATTAGGCATTTGTTATTATTATTATCTCCTAGATTGTAAGCTCGAAAGAGCAGGGCCCTCGATCCCCTCATGTTTTGCATTGTATTGTTATTCTGTCACATGTTCTGTCCCCCTTTGTAATGTACAGCGCTGAGCGAACTATTGGCGCTTTATAAATACTGTATAATAAAATAATAATAATTATTAGCTATAGTGATATTAAGCATGGTAAAACTACTAATTAAAGGAAAATCATACAAGAAAAATTTTCATGCTTGTCTCTTTGAATAATTTCAGACAAAAGCTGTGTACTAACAATCAGATTATTTTGCGACCACTTCGAAAGCAGGATTTTTCGTACAATTTTCTGATTGTGTGTACTAGGCTTAAGAGTATGTTTTTGATATCTTATTATCATAATAATGTACTGTTTTTGTACTTTTAATTTAATAAAGAACAGTATATTTTTAGACTGTGATTTTTTTACCAATGATTTGTCAAGGGATAATTATTTTTTTTTCCTTTTTATTAATGTGTTCTTATTATTTCTACATATACATATACAAATATTATTACATTATACATTAATACAATACATACTAGACGTCACCATTGTGCTGTCTACTAGCTGCATCAAATCCACCTGTTTTCTAAGCCCCTATAACCATTTTCAATTTTCTTTCAAGCTGTGATAAATGATATTTGTTGTGCTGTGCTGTCTGTCTCTTCTGTTTGTGAATGAGCTGGGATCTAAATGAACAAACAGTTGACAAATTCCTGATGGGAAGGATGATGAATTGATTGCCATTACTGCAGAGATTACCAGCTGACATTCTGAATTTTCATATTAATACAATTTGTAGTCTATCATCCATTAAGACGATTAGAAGCCAGGCCCTCTAATTATGTCTGTTGGGGTCAAACAACTTCAATAATTACAGGTCTATGCACTGTGTCTCACTTTGTCATCAACAGGGTTGGGCCAGTGTTGACATGCATCTGTAATCATCGAACAGCAGAGATTTAAACTAATATTTAATAAACTGGATGACTTCATTCCTAGAGCTTAATTTTATTGATTTTGTCTGCATATTATTTGAATCTTTTAAAGGTGTAGACAGAAATAAATGCAATATAAGCATTTTGCAATTATATTGAAAAAAAAAAAAAAAAAAAAAAAATACAAAAAGAATGTGTGCAGGTATGGAGTGTGATTAAACCAATAAAAGAACAAAATCTGCCCCAATGCAAATGTAATTTTTTTTTTCAGGTACGCTGTCTATATACAATGCAAAAAAGACTTTTAGAGACTCATCCAATAACAAAATCTCATACAAAATGTATTTTTTACATTTTAATACTAAAAGCCAATAAAAAACAGGAAACTGGTTCTGACTATAATTATGCTATAAAGAAAAAAATAAGGATAGAATTCTAATGTACATTGTATGATGAGAGAATAGAATTGTAAATATAATCAATCTTTAAAGTCATAATATTACTAAACTATATCATAAATATATTAGTTGAAAGTTAATCATAATAATAGACAGCAAAAGTTCGTGAATCACAAAAAAATTTCTGTAGAAATAAAAAATTCTAGCAAATTCTTTTCAAATGCAAAAATATAAAAACTTCCACCTTCCACCCGTGCAAAATCAACATCAATTACACTCACCAGATTTTGTGAATGAAACGCCTTTTAGGAATTTAATGGGATCCTGAACCCTCTTTCGTATCCACTCTATAGGATTCCTCTCCATCAGAATAGGCTCCACCAACAACCAGGGAGAAAAAATCTCAGATAGTGTGATATTGCTAATTACTCTTTTCAATAAAATGAAAGATTAAGGCCACTCATATTTCAACCACTTTAAAAAGGCATATTTATTGAAACAAGCTTCTTCCAGATGGAAAATGAATGATATACAGCCTCCTCAGGAATCTCACATCACAGCTCCACAGAGAAAAACCATGCAGAGATCCCAAAAAATGGCCGCTGGAACGCACCTAGCTCAGCGTGCGCTCCACTCACCTGAAGCGACACCAGACGTACAGGGTAAAGACCGGAAATGCGTCAACGCGCCTCGCCCCTCCCATCAGGCGTTCTCAAGGCGTCTTTCAAGGCAAACTTTTGCTGTCTATTATTATGATGGACTTTCACTATTAATATTATTTATGATATATTTAGTAATATTATGCACTTTATAGATTGATTATATTTAGAGGTCTATGTTTGCGCTGTTTATTTATAATTGTCACTTCCTGACTACAGGCACTTGGTCTAGCATCAGTTCCACATCATTGTCCTGCACT